TGACGAGTTTCTTCGTCGTGTGTTGTATGTTGATAGCGGCACTGTAAAACAAGTAATCGCTTTACACCGACAGCGATGGTTCCGTCGTGTTTTGTCTATCATCCACGTCTCCATACTCTCTTTGTATACGCTGGGCAAGAATGAAAGAAGCTTCGCGCTGACCTGACTGTGTCTGTCTCGGTGTAGAGTTGCAAAGAGTTGGTCTCAGCATTGGCTTCGATTGGTGCAGCTTACCTTTCAGGCAGAAGCCCAATGAAGAATTGCAATACAGATTGCAGGTAACTAAGGCCACTGATATATACTTTTACCACCACGAAATTTCGTGCGCCGGTTTTGGTTGCTTTCTCTTTGCTGCACACTTAGATGAAGCAGTAGAATACAGAAAAGTTAAAACTAGGGTCGAAGGAAAAATGGAGAATTTCAGTAAACTAAGATTGCAAAGAAATTCAGAAAATGCATGAGCGCCACTGTTCACGACACTCGATCATATCACTCAGTGTATCTGGCCATTGATTACTCTGATCCAGAGGTCTCCATTCACGGAGCTCAACGCGACCTACATGATCGAGTCTCCTGGCTAGGGTTTTCATACAATCATACCAGATCTGAGTTTGATCACGCTTGGCTTGGGATAACATTGTCCGCCGTGGCAACCTATGTAATGACATGCGTAAGAGATATGGCTCAGAATAGAAGACAGTCATCTGCTTTTCGTGATTTTTGTTTGCTCAAATTCGGTTTCCCATAACATACTAAAGCACCAAAAGATATACAGTGGAACTAACAAAACTTGTTCTTCCTACCTCCCGGGCACACCTTTCTGAAAGGGGCCGTCGCGACCTCCGGCTGTCTGTGAAGGGTTGAGTGTATGCCGCTACAGTTCGACCGGTCTTGCTATACAGTGCGGAAACTGGGCCATTAAGAAAGCAGGATAAAGACAGACTGTCTGTGTTTGAACATCGCTGTCTACGTGGCATTGCACGAATCTGGTGGGGTAGCCGGATGAGCAATGCTGAGGTTAGGCGCAGAGTTTTGGATATCCGCGGTCGCCCACAGGAGCAAGTGCTCGACCTCCATAGATTACGTTGGTTGGGACATGTGGTAGGCATGTCACCAGATAGGTTACCAGGGCGAGCGATGTTCGCGGAAGCAAACACCGAGTGGAGGAAAGCCAAGGGTGGTCAAGCTAAGATCTGGCATAAGGGTATGAAAACCCTGACCAGGAGTCTGGGTCACATAGATCCCGTTAGGCTCCCTGGATGAGGACCTCTAAATGGTCGTAACAGATGGTTAGACACACTGAGTGATATGGCTGGGTGTCGCAACCAGTGGCGTTCGTGCATCTTCTCAATTTCTTTGCAACCTTAGATCACTGAACGTCTCCCTTTTCTGTTCGACTCCACTTTCAACTTCCCTTTCATCTCCTATTCTTCATCCAAATGGGCAGCCAAAAGCTGCTCACGAATATGCGTGGGTAATGGTTGTACAAACTGAACTGAACTGAACTCCTAGTTTTTTTCTGTTTTTTTCCAATTTTCATTGCAACTATCTGTGCCGGATCCTACCATATACATCATCATTGTTGTCGCTTTGGCACTATGCTTGTTATGCTCAAGGCGGTGTGATATATTATGTACATAAACTTAATATCTCAAGGAAACACTCTTATTTTGTGATCTGAGTACAAGTATAGTGACTTCATGTACATCGGAGTTGCGTTAAATTGCTATCTGAGGGGCGGCTCATGTTCACCTCAACTAGTACTTTTCTTGAGTGCATTCTTACAGCATAAAACAACTTAGATTTTTGGGCGCCACTTTATCCTGTACCTATTACAACTTTTTCCGAGAAGTAAGGGCAGTTTGCTGAGTTTGTGCTAATCTCTTGCAAAAAGTTACTATCCAATGAATCCATGTAATCGCATTGTTATATTCGAGAAATGCGGAGTAATGCAGAAGTTTTTGGCCGTATATAGGCTTTAATCTTCCAACAATCGTAGTATAAAAACTACAATGTAATAAAAGAGAGGTAATAAAGTTCCATTTGAAATAGGGTAACGCATCAGTTTATGACATCCTCCTTCGCAGAATGGAAAACCAGTGGCGCTTGGGGATTCAGTTTAACCCTCTGTTATGCAAGTTGTATGGTTGAACACGTCGTTCTTTTTCGATTTACTGTTGCAGATTGTCTTGTAGATCTGGCTGAGTAGCTAACTCCGGTTGGAGGGTCTTGGACAGGAGCTGTGAAGGCGCGGGATACGACTGCGACAGGTCGTCAGTGTTAATACGTTGGTTCGCTTGGTCCGAATAAGAGTTGTGTGTGTCAGTTGCTTTGGGAGCAAGATGTCTTATGGAAACGGTTTCCTCTCTGCCATTAAGGAAACGGATAAATGCGTACTGAGGGTTGCAGTCCAGGAGTTGCACCTCTTCCACTCAAGGGTTGTATTTCGAGGAACGTGCCATTTTTTTGAACCAAATAGGACCTGAATTCGATAACTACGTCGGAAGTGAAATACTAGTGATGGATCTGCGGTTGCACTTTAGGAATCTTTCGTGAGGTGTCTCGTTGGTGGCAGTATACAGTAGAGAACGGACAGAATGCAGGACATCCATAAGTACACTTTCCACCTGGGAGACGTTCAGTTGCTGGGACCTCAGCAGTAGTGTGATTGCTTTCCATAAAGTTCCGTTTATTCGTTCTACCTGTCCGTTACCGCGCGGATTATATGGGGTCGTTCGGCTGGTAGCGATTCCTTTGGCATGAAGGAAACTTCGCAACTCATCAGACATGAAGGATGCTCCGCGATCGAAATGGATATATGGAGGTAACCCAAACAGTGAAAATAATTGATTGAAACACTTGATGGCGGTCGACGAAGAAACGTCTGAACAGGCAAAAGCAAAGGGCAAACGTGAATGTTCGTCAATCATCGTCAAGAGGTATTTGTTATGGGATATGGATAGGAGTGACCCCTAAATTCAATACTGACTCTTTCAAATGGTTGCGTCGCTTTAACTAATTTTCCAAAATGTTGTTTGAGAAAGCGGGGCTTAAGTTCAGCACACGTTGCACACTGACTATTGACGAGTGAGAATAGTAAATTTTTAGAACGAGCAAGATGTAACATTCGTGTCATACCGGGGTGAGAGAGTGTATTATGTAAATGTTTCAAGTCAGTGCGTGACATAGCAGAGAGACAGTTGTTCCGGGAGTGTGTCAGCAGCTTTAATTTGGCCACCGGGACGGTATCGGATGTCATAATGATAACACGAAAGTTCCAGTTTCCACCTTTTGATTTTGTCATTTTTCACTTTTCCCTTGTGTTGTTTATCATACATGAATGCTACTGAACGCTGGTCAGTGATAAGAGTGAAATGATTGTTGAGTAGGTAATGTCTCCATTTTCTTCGAGATTCGACAATCACACAAGCTTCTTTTTCGATAGAAGAATGACGTTGCTCACTGGGCGATAAAGTGCTGTCCGTCCTGGTTGAGCGTGGCAGCTATTTCGGATGCGTCTGTCTCGACGACCAAGGGACGGTTATAATCGATTGTAAACACAGCGGCTTTTTCCAATTCTTTTTTCATGTTTTCCAACGCATCCTGCACTTTTCTGAGTTGTGGGAATGTCCGGTTGTTTACCGAAATGTGGATTTTGTCAGAAAAATGAGGGATCCATTGTGCATAATACGCCAACATTCAAGTACTCTTCTCTTTGAGTGAATGTCGAAAGGTGCAGATAACTCTTGTAGAGCGCGGGATTGTTCAGGGTCAGGTTTAACCGTCCCATGTGTGATTTCGTATCCCAGGAGTTGAATTTTGGTGGCAGAAGTGATACTCTTACTTTCGTTGAACGTTTTTCCACGTCTATTGCAAACCTCCAGAAAACTCTTGAGATTTACATTGTGCTTTTGAGCATTGCAGCCGCAAACAGTGATATTGTCGATGTAGGGAAAAAATATCTCTAAGCTTTCTTCACGGATAATATTATCTGTAGCGCGTTGGAAGCAGGACACTCCGTTAGTAACTCCGAATGGAAGGCGGCGGAATTGATACAACTTACTGCATGTCTCAAAGGGTGTATAAGGTTTATCTCCTTCGTGGATGGGGATTGGATGGTAAGCACTTTGAAGATGGAAGGTACTGAAGAGGGAGTAGTGAGNGAGACACTTTCTCTCCTAGGTCGTCAACCTTTGGGATAGGGTATGCATCAAAATGAGTGAATCGATTTATTGTTTGGCTGTAGTCGACAATCATGCGCTTCTTGTCTCTCATTTGTAGTCACAAGGACTTGCGCTCGCCAGGGTGAGTCTGAAGGCTCGATAATACGGTCGTTCAATAATTTCCGGATTTCGGTCTGAATGAACGACAGATCCGAGGCAGAGTGACTGTGTG